CCCCTCAGGCATATTCCCATTGGGATGAGACTTTTCAAGAGAATGGCTTTTGTGGTGGGTTTTTTTTTGGGGGGGGGAGGCTGTCATCGCCCCCATGACTATGCCACGATGTTCCACTCGGTGTATTAAAGCTTATGTCAGGTAGGGAAGAGCGACCTTGCATTGAAAATATCCTTCAATATCCACACAACCGTAAAATCTCGTCTACCAAAAAGAATCTCATTTTAACTCCCAAAACATTGAATTTGATTGCAATCACCATGCAATAATTATATATTTATATCACATTAGAATAATACCCTTACCTCATTAAAAGTCTGGGTGGCTCCACTAAATTTAAAACAGCATAAATGCGCGATTCCTGCAAGGTATATTTCCCAGCTGTGCACATGTTTTTCAATTACAATCACTGGAATACGCCTAAACGCCGTGCGCAAAACTGCATACGCTGGCTTGTTTGTGTTTATTTTTAGCTTCCCGCCATTTGACGATATGGTTTCCGAGCTTTTCCGAGCTTCTACCGAAAACGATATAGGGTAATGCTGGGATAAAATTGAACAAAGTGGGGTATTAAACACTACTATTCACGGACACCGGTTTTCGAACCGTTTATATATTTTGGGTTGTATGTATTTCTAAACATTGAATAAAACAATTAGCAATCATGTTCAATACATATGTACGAATATTGTGTATTATGCATGGTTTTCACTTTGAAAACGAATATTTGATTATTTTTAGTTGTTTTTTTGGGAGGGGGGATGGAGGATGCGTAATGCCGCGTAGGGATAGTGGGCAGTAATGAGGGATAACGATTATATAAAAGTTGCCCACCTGCCGGATGCGAATTCATTGTTGTGTCAGATTGTGTCAACTTCGTGGTTTTGGAAAGTGAAAGAAGCTTCGAAATTTTGGCTAGACGGGTATTTCGTTATTTTATTGCAGCATTAAACATGCCAGTCAAAGTGCACGTTGTCTACTGGTAAGGAATAGAGCCAAACAAGTTATCTTGCAAGTATTGTGAAAGCATATGTTTTAATTTATAAATACTTTTTCAGGGGCAGGAGTATGCAATTTCGCAACTGGTCTAAATGTAGTCATGTCATGTTTATAAAAGCCGTCTTATGTTTTATATATTCAGGATTAATAACGTAAGATTAACGTAGTTAATATATGGAATATGTTTGGGAAATTTTGTTATGTAAATATTTGTGGATTTTTTCAAGCATTTAGGGGATGTTGCCACAAATGACAAATGACGTCGAATCGACGTTTATTTTACCCACCCACCCCAGTAGCGTCAATCGATATTCAGTCGAAATTTTGACTGCCAAACTCACAATTATTGTACTTTACTACCGTCATTGGCTGGGATTGTATTTTGATAGAATATTTAAACTATATACAATATTCGATCAGACACTGGGATGGTTTCATCAGCCATGGTTACTTTGGACGAATTACGGTCGTTTCGCCAACGAGTCGTTTCGCCAACTGTCTGTTCGCCAACGTCTCGGGTCGATTCGCCAACGCTCGTCCACGTTCTTATGTCAGTTCGCCAACGTCGCGTAGTTCATACACAGTAAAATTCAGAGGGTAAAATTCACCCCAGTTTACAAGATATTACTTGCTTTTAATAACTGGTATCTTGAGTTTACAAGATATTACTGTTCGGAGTGTGTTTTGTTCAGCCGACGATTTAAGAAAATAGAATAAGAAACAAACTTCCGAAGAGTAAAGTCATCTTGCAATTCAGGATATGAACAAAAAACTCGTAAACGGAATAGTAAACAAAATGTTTTTGTTTTTTCACAAAAATAATGTTCATGCAAGTATACTCCATCTTCACCAAAAGGGGGTTACTAGCCGTGACTAATTACGTTGGCAACACTATTAATAGCGCATGCAGGATATCGTTAATCCATATATTGTTTACGAGTTTGGTTTGGAGATTGTGTTTACTAGAAACTCCAAGATATTTCGTGTGTTTAATTAATCTTCAAAATACAAGAACATCAGTAACAACTAACAATGTCGCACAATACGCCTTTTATATGAACTACGCGATGTTGGCGAACTGACATAAGAACGTGGACGAGCGTTGGCGAATCGACCCGAGACGTTGGCGAACTGACAGTTGGCGAAACGACTCGTTGGCGAAACGACCGGATACCCTTTGGACATTAATTGTCAAATTACCACGAGATATAAACGTTGATAAGTTACATAAAACACATAAAAACCCACCTACCCACTCATAACGTTGATTCGACTTTATTTGTGGCAACATGAATATGGACGTGACCCTGCACTTAGCTGGCCTGGCATGACATTATAAATAATATAAAAAGTATCTTTTGCAAACATTTTTGATGTTTGCCAGCCAGCCTGTGGCTTATAGTGATAACAGCATGTCTTTGTGAGTTTGTACAGGGTTGGAATCCCAGCAAGCAGACAGAGTCTGACAGACTGGAAAGTTTGTATTGCACACCCTAGATTTCGGTTGTGCAATTTTGGACCGAAATGCGTGTCCAGGCGTGCCACTTTTGGAAGTATATTTGTTCTGACGTGCAATTTTGGAAAACGTGCATGTAATTTTCTGAAGCGCGCATGCAAATTGCTATATATCAAGGGTGGATCTAGCCTCATCTGCAAGGAGGAGTGTAGCCATGCAAGCTTTCCATGGGGTGGTGCATGAGGGAGCCTCTAACTGTCCTATGCAGTCTGCAATACTACTGTCCCAACATCGCCATTATTTGAGATGGCTGAATCTGCATTTTACATTATATTTGGTTTATATTTATAAAGTGTTTAATTTTGTATTGGTTTTTTATAACATTGCATAACTGGACAGTTGCTGTAGCACAGTGCAGTAAATTTGCTTGTTGAAGTACCGGTACAGTATATTTGAAAATATGGCTGTATAGCAACCCCAACATCTAAAGCATTCTGAGTATTTTTTTGTGAGCTCACAAATCAATTCAATCGTTTCAAGAAATTAACACACTCTTGGGGGGGGGGACTGAATAGGTTTTCGGATTGTTGGATTCCACCGAAAAAACTTTTCGGATTTTGGATCTGGACGGATTTAGACGGATTTGCAGATCTTATCAAATTGACAATGCAACATATTGCAGATTTATCTAATATTTTGGCTCAGATTGTGGATTTTGCTTGCAATTTAGTTTGGATCCTGCATTGTGACCTCATAGTAGAGCTTTTAGCGGATCCAAATTTAGGCAAGACCATTGTCGGATCGCCGGGTTTTGCTTCAAATTTTGGTGAATCAGCAGATTTGTATACCCCTATTCACCCCCCTCCGACTCTAACAGTACTAGAAGTTCCATTAATCACTTTTCAAAAAGCAGAAAATATATGGTCTTGAAGCATATTTTTAAGGGTGGTGCTGGACTACTCTATGGGAATATCAGACTAGGTGGGGGGTGCACACTGCCAGCACCCTCATTTTTGCTTGTTTGGCCAACCCAATTATTGAATTTTAATCTTAGACTGGATAAAATTACAAGATTTAGCAGTTTCAGGAATATATTGCAATAGCAGCAGAAAATAAAATGAAAACAAGGAGAAAATGTTCTTGGCAGACATTACTTCAACATCGTACCCAGGCTCTCTTCTCTAAGCTCCTTTAATACTTCTGAACGGTATAATGTTAATGTCGTAAAAAGCGAATCTGGTATTGTGTACTGTAACTGTGACCTACGAATTGCATATGACGAATCGTGTCATGCAGCCAGACCTACATTTAGAAAATTTTACAGTAAGTTCAAATTATAATCTAAAACTATTTTTTGTTTTTTTCAGTGGTGCCTGAGGGTACAAGTCCAAGGTGAGATATTGTATATCTTTCAGCAGTTTGTAGTGATAAGTTATAAATTAACTGATTAGTCGCAATCTGCCCATTGAATGCAACTGACCGTATTATATATTTTACTCTTTCCAATGCCAGATGTTTGTAGTCATCAATAGGAGATTGCTGGCGCTCTATTGGCTGATGCGATATTAAAAAAGATTGACATATTGATATTGAAAAACTTATCACTTTTCTTATTAAAAGTAAATCCAAAAAGGATTTGACATATTGTCTAGACTTTCCTTCACAACGGAACAGTGTGGCATGTTAGAATGAGTGATATTTTGATGCTCTGTTTTAACCCATTGAGCCGCAATGCGCCCCAGTGCACCCTACTTATTTTTTTTACTCGTCTAACGCCAGACAATTTTACTTGTCAATGGGGAAGCTGTGCAGCTTAATGGTATAAACATGCAGATATGCACCATTAGGATTATTCTTCAAAGTGCTGCAGTCGTTTTCAAACGTTCAGCCACTTGTATGGGTGTAGCCTGTGTGGCAGGCGGTATTTCTACCGGATCTTCTGTGGTCACATTAATTACTCTGTTTACACTTTTAAATTGCCCACACGCTTGCTACCTGAATTCGCAATTACTGTCGTACAGTATACATGTTTTCTAACTTCACTGGACAATAATTGCCAAATTGCCTTTGTATATTTGAATATAACAAAGAATTCATGAATGCAATTTACATGTAAGTACTGAATAACTAAAATAGTTGAATATATATTTTATTTTAGTACAATCGACTAGCGTCTAGTCTAGTTGATGAATTTGGCGATGATGTCGAGTGTGTAAGTACTGACCTTGGTGTATGTATGTACAGTTATATTACTGATGTACAACCCCTAATTGATAGACATGTGTTAATCAGGGTTGAAAATAAATCGTTTTTATTTAGAAATATTTGTAGGCTGTTTGGTGCGTGTATCTTCTTTGTACCGGCAATTTTGATCCATCGAACATCAAAAGATTATGCAGAAAATACAGAGAACCACCATGCATATACAAAAGCTGCAGCAAAATAGAAAACGCATGCAGCAACAGTCTTTTCAAATATCAAAAAATCTTTTCAAATATCTTTTCAAAAACGCATTTTCAAGATGAAAATCAGTGCCCAGCATAAAGCAGGTAATTAATAAGCCATCAGGAAATAACGTTTTTAAATTTACTAAGTCTAGGAACGAATGTTTTGTCCATGGATGTTTAATGTGCATTATGCTGGGCATTGATTTTCATCATACAGTTCAGTTAGGATTCCCGCCTTGTTCATGGTTACCAGAAATTCATGGCTATCATATTCATGGCTACCAGAAGACTCAATGCGATCTTTTTATGTCAAGACACCATCTTTTTCATTTAAAACCTATAAATTCATCATTATAGATCATTGAATTAAGAAGAAAAACTTGTTGCTGCTAATTTAGAAGTAGCCGGGCTAGTGCTGTGAAAATCCTGGTGACAGCCAGCTACTATTTTAAATCCTGGTTAATGCTTTTGAAATCTGTCATGTCCAATGCAGAGACTTGCATTCATGATTTTAAAACGTTTCTCAAGCGGCAAACAGACCTAAAAAGTATTTTTGATTCTCATGACAAAGTTCAATGTTTTTACCGAGAAAGTTAAATGTCTGTGATGGTCATTTGATGGTTTCAATTCGTTCAGCCAATCATCAGCTTGGAACTGGTTGAACGTGATTGGCTGATCATATTAAAACCTGTCGAGTGCTCTTGACAAACATTAAATTAAGATACTCACGCGAATAGGCAATGCTTTTATGAGCGACCGTTCATCCTTAGATTTTAGATAGTACGCCAAAGAGAAAATTACGTCTGAAGTTCAGCAAGTTTTGTTTATGTTGCTGTATAAATATGGTTTAAAACATCAATGATAATTATATATCGCATAGTTTCATCCTGGTTTCATCACGATGAAAATTAATTATATTTAAATTGACAATATTTAACTGCCAAATACATTGCTAACTGTGTAATCTACTAAAATTCTAAAACAAAGGAATTTTGAGAGGAACACCAAAAAGATTTTAGATTTTGAACACTTTCATTGCAAATTAATTTTTTTTATTAGAGTGGAGAGGGGACACCAACAACTACTGGATGGTTTGAAGTTAATGTTGATGGAAAACTTGTTCATTCAAAAAAGGTACCCCACACTAATCTAACTAGTTTAGCAGTATTATTCAAGTTCAGCCAAATGAAGTGCGATTGTTATTTAGGTTTAAATCGAACTCGAGAAATTATCTTGTTTTGGAACTTTTGAATACTGAAATACACATGTAAAACATACAATTTGGAAAGACTGAAGCTGTTTTTTGTCGAGTTTAAAGTTACAATAACCATTGAAGAAGAAATTTAAAATATCTTTCAATTGTGATGAACTGTTAAATATTTTGGCTGTTGCTGGTTTGAGGCAAATTTGACTCCCTGGAAAATAGTCAATCTCGTACTGAGCCTGCAATCCTACGAGATTGGAAACTAATATGCAAAACGTACACACACATAGTATAAGCATTTTTTGATGGCTTATTGTACACGAGGGGGCTTGTACTGTATACGGGGGGGGGCTTATATACAGACACTCAGATGTACTGTACAGACGACAATAATATTTATTGTACCTGTAAAGTGTAAACTATACCCTGAACGAAAAGAAGTAAAACAGTTTGGTTTATAACAAATCATGTAATAGTGTAATATAATTATCATCACTCTTCTGAGCTGTTGGATTCCCTGTCCCAAAGTTATACCTGTCCAATAATAAACCCATGGCCTAATACACTGAGGTGTTTATTTTCTGTGGGAAGAGGGCTTATATTCGAAATCTAATTCGCCTGAGCGTTAGTGAATATGGTGGTGGGCTTATACACGGGCGGGCTTATATTCGTGGGACTTATATTCGGAGATACAGTATACGGTAGGATATAAACATGAGAGAAATCTCTCAGGACTCCGCGGAAGAGAAATTTGCTATGTGTTGCAATGGATACTGAGTTTGAGATGTCTACAGTCTAGCATCCAAATTTGAATTTTGGTATCTCATGAATATCAGAACACATACAGTACCCAGGTCGGTACGACGGCTATAACCAGCTCATTAAACTATTGGAAGTCGTAACCATGCTGCCAGTTAGTCAGCACAATAATTCCACAACACAAAATAATTACAGTATAGTCACTTACAATGCAAACATATGAGTTTATCAACACTGATCTCGTAACCTATTGTTATTTGTTCTTGTTGCAGAATGGAGATGGTTATGTTGACAGTGAAGCGAAAATGAAGAAGATTACTGAAAGTGTTGCGGCAGCCTTGAGCTCCAAGTGATGTTACACTCATGGTATTCTTGCTTGTTATGTGTACGATGGTATGTATCTGCCGTGTTTATTAATATAAGGCAAAATATTTCCTCTTGTAAAAACTTAGGTGGGATAGGTCGGTTTTAACTTTTTTTTTAACTTTTTTTTTAATTTTCCTAACAACCGGACGCCATTTTGTTTAGTCAGTGCTTGCATATCCAAACATAAATTTCCTTAATATTGCCTCAAATTTTCATTTTCCACAAACGTTTTCCTCTAAGTGGAAACACTTACAAGCGTGATCCGATAAAAAAAGTTTAGGGTCGGGATTTTTGCGTCCAAAAGCTAGGTAGGGTCGGGAAACCGGAAACCCACATATTTTTTTTTGGCCTAATCTTCAAAACTTGGTCTAACATGACGAACCCACATTTTTGTCGGAGATGATTGGTAGGTTGTCGGAGATGATTGGAGATGATTGGCAATTCTGTTTTAAATTATGGACTAAAAGCTATAGTAGGGAATTGCAATTATTTTATTGAGTAGATAATCCCCTGGCCCCACCTTAGTAGGGCCCCAACTTGAGAGCGAGAACCTAAAATTGGGTAGGTTCTTTAAATTGGCCAGAGCATTTTTTTTTAAATTGAGGGCCCCTTACAGTAGCTCCACATGCAGTCTAGCTAAGGTCTAGTTGGGTGACTGACTTGGGTCTAGCTTAAAAATAATGATATCATATCATAGAAGCCCCGCGAATTCTCTCGGCGAGTCGGCGGCCCTGCCTATACTGATTAAGTATTTAGCATTGATCAGCAGATTGATTGCATTCTACTCGCATACATGTACAGACAAGCGGTACAGGCTGGCGTTTGCTAGCAGATGCATACATGTAAAATGATTTCTCAGTACAGAAACGCCAGTCCCCAGAAATTTGCTACTGCCAGTCGCTGTACATACAGTAACTACCAGCACAACAACATCAAACTATACAATACTTAGTCAAGTATCATTTATATGTTTTATGGTGCTAGTGTTGAGTAGAATGTCCTTTCCCCCCGTTGAGTAGAATGTCTGATTGCCTGGCCTCAGCAGAGCTGGTAAAAGTTGGGAAGCTGGGAACCTTGTTCCAAGAATTTTTTTGGAATCTACATTTTTACAGAAATTTTCAGACATTTTTTATGTTTGATATCACGTGTGTGTGACTGGAAGTTGCTGTAGTACAGTACAGTAAATTTGCTTGTTAAAGTGCAGTATATTTGAAAATATGGTTAATATACAACTACCTCAAGTCTCAAGATGTATACATATTTAACCATGATATTTGACTAATCGTTCTGAGTATTTTCTCGTGGGCTGACAAATCAATGAAATCGTTTAAACAAATCGACACACGCTAAGAGTACAAGCTCCGTTAATCGCTATACGAAAAGCGGAAAATGTATGGTCAATAGATTTTTTAGGGTGGTGCTGGAATTTATCTGGGGGGGGGGGCTGCTAGACACCACTAGGTGGGGTGGCACCCCCTGCACCAGCATGTAGTCCGCCCCTGCTACGTCTTGCTACAAACGTATTTTGAATTATTGTTTTCTGTTTCAGACGGGTCAGTTGTTTGGATGCTGTTTATTTCATGATGACGGAAATAACTCCAATGCAATTTCTTTGTAAAGTTGTTTCTTGATACTTGTTGATTGAAATAGTTTCTAGCTCTCGCTTAGTACATTGTATACATTTTTTACTAACTAATAAATATTTTGAAACCATTGTTGTACTTTGTTTTAATTCGGTAATATTGGAAGGATTGGCCAGAAGATAAACGAGGCTCTCGCAGGGATTTCTACGGATAGGCATATTTTGCACTGCTGTAAAAGTTGCGCAGATGTATTGCTATTGCGTCCATAAACAGCATGGTCTCTTCATTTTTATGATGTATATAGGTTTTCATTTTAAATTAAGTTTGCATCTCAAGCCTCAGACAATACTATAATCTATTTAAGTAATTACCTTAGTAATGGCCTTATAGAAGTTAGATGGGAGGCAGGAGTTTTTCATTCCACCTCGCCTTATGGGTGAGGGATTAAATAGACTTGCTCCAAGTCTCTCTTTCATTATTGTCATATAGTATCGATCCACTACAGTGTACATTACATAACGTAGCACGGAGGGGCGGAGCGAGAAAGAGAGACTTGTCAACTTTGGAAAATCTCGGTTCAAAACTGAACCGAAAATGCAAGACTTGCTTTAATTGTTTTCTGTCAGTGTTTATATGTATTGATATAACACAGTGTAAATAACATGAGTTCCATTATAGTAAATAATACAGAAGGAAAGAATTAAAGCAAGTCTTGCATTTCCGGTTCAGTTTTGAACCGAGATTTTCCGAAGTTGACAAGTCTCTTTCTCGCTCCGCCCTTGCGTACTACGTCATGTAATGTACACTATAGTGGATCGATATGACTTGGAGCTACTTGGAGCAAGCAGTGTTTCCACCTTCTAGGAAATTTCCTTTTTCAAGGAAATTTTGACCGAAAAAAGACGTTTCAAGGAAAAAAGGAATCAAGGAAATCTAAGGAATTTTTGAAAATTCTAAGGAAATTTAAGGAATTTTTGAGTCAACTGAAATGTTTTGAAGATTCTTTCAGAAACCTTTCATTAATTTTAAATTATATTACTTTCCTTCGCCCATAACCAATATGTCCGCGTGAAAAAATTAAAGAAAATCTTTCGGAGCCTGTGACCGAGTCAGTAGAATCTAGAATTATTAATTAAACTAATTATAAGTAGGCTGCACACAACCTGAATTTTAGGCGGAAATCAGGTACGTGCTGCGTGCAGGCGAATTTATATGAATTTATTTGTCGTGTGAATCAATCTCGTTCCCAGAGTATACCTGTTCGCGGGTTAGGTAGCCACTACCTAACTACACTAGTATTTTACATTTTATAGCTTTCAAAATTGTTGTGTAAAGGCTTTGTTTTTAAGAGTTGTACGAAATAAATGTACCATTCTGTTTCTGTCTTACTTTATAATTATATAAGTATTGATGAATTCTAGTTGCCGAAATATACGTCGGTTATCAAGGAAATTTCAAGGAAATTACATCCCATTTCAAGGAAATTCAAGGAAATTTTAAAGCAAAATCAAGGAAATTTAAATGATGTGTTGTGGAAACACTGGGAGCAAGTCTACGAGCTGCGAGGAGCTTCGTGCGAGGACTGGAATTGCCCCCTTAGACGGTTTTCCAGTCCTCGCACGAAGCTCCTCGCAGCTCGCTGCGATTGCTTGCATCTAATTAAGAGGAGATTTTTTAAAAAGTCGCGTATTTTTTCCGAAAAGCGATCAAAGCTTAGCGGCCATGCCTTCGCGAAAAAATAATGCGCCGCCATCTTGGTTTTAAAAGTTTCCCAAAATTTGCGAAGACAAATAATAACTGCTATTTGAATTATTATTATATAAAATGTGCACATGTATCTGACTCAAGAGTGAGCACTGAGCATTCAAACCCGTCATCTATAATAATATTAATATAAAACTGATTGAAAGTGACTGCCTTCGTCCTTTGAATGATGGCCTGCCTGTTCACAACTCATTAATATATGTACATGCAAAATTGTAAAGCACTCTGTTTGAATTTTTAAGGAAGAATTTGCCAATTTGAGTATTTGTAAACAGTTTTTCGCCTCTGGTACTTTTGCATATTTCCATATTAAAGACATTTCACTGCAAATGCACATAGTCCATGCATCTGTAATTTTAAACTTCATACTGTTTTGGCACATGCAGCTGTTGCAGTGTTTCAGGTATACCATGCTAGTCACTACAAGTTCCCTTCTGATATAAAGAGTTGTGATGTACTGGTACCGTAAACCTCCGACTTACAACTATAAGCCACCCCCCCCCCCCTCCGCCCTGAACATAGACGGATTTTCATGTTTTTTACTGGGGTGGTGCCAGAAATTTTAGGGGGGGTGAGCCGCGAGCATGTGACTGAAGCAACACAAAGTGTCACCAAACCCCAGTAGGATCTATATTCTAGGGGTGGAGCACTGGAGCCGCGAGTGGGAGTCTAGAGAGCAGAAAACAAAGTATCCCTGAAAAAAATTGATTTCTAGATTCGAAAAGTTTTTTGTTGTCATATCAACGGATTTGGCCTGTCCAATTGTCTGTCGAGACTTGAGAGAGTTAAAATTAAATGAACCTGTACAAGTGTAAACCCAATAGGCCAATGTACAATATGCTTTTACTTTTATAAAATCATTGACATTGTGTTGTTTGAATCCGAGTACAATTTATGATGCAACTCCGATGTAAATAATATTTGGGATGTAAAGATTAAATCTAGGCAAGACTATTTCCTAAAAGAATTAAAAACTAAAAATAATGTTCGTAAAAATTCCAAATGTTCCTTGCAAGCAAACTATTTGCATGACAAGGCACTGCAAACTCTATTCAGGGGAGATAATAGAGTTTCAAAACTTTACAATTGCATGGTCCAATAAACCAGTGAATGCAAGCGAGGAGCAATTAGTTTCAGAGTATTGCACTGTCTTTTTCTATTTGAGTGTACTCCTACGTTTATTTTGTATCATCAACACTCTGCACGTTGGAGTGGACTATTTAATTATTTTTTATTATGCCGAATATTGGGGGGGTGTTGAAAATTTTTTTGGAGGGGTGGACATTTTGTTTGGGGGTTGTAGCTAATATTAGGTAGCATCCCCACCCTACAAAACTCGTCTATGCCCCGAATATGCCCCCCATGTATAAGCCCACCACATGCACTAAAGCTCACCTCATTCCAAATATAAGCCCCCCCCTGAATATAAGCCCCCCAAATATAAGTCTCCCGAATTGATATATTAATAGATTTTTAATTTCCTGTTTATGACTGACTTGTTTATGTTTGACTTGTTTATTACTAACACTAACACAAAAGATCATCCATGTATAAGCCCCTTGTATAAGCCCATCAAAAATCGCTTATGAAAGTATATAAGCCAGGTTTTACAGTCGGGATATAAGTAACAATTGCAAGTGGAATTAATAGTCGAAACAACCTACTTTCCCTCATGCATATAACTTGATGTGGTATGAGGGTCGCTAAGCCCGGGCTGGTCTAACCTGAGATTGGGCTGTATTATACGGATAATAACCTGACACAAATCTTAATCCAATCACTTTCCACCCACAACAAAGTTTATATTTAGTATCCAATCAAAATGTCACAGGAGAAATTAAAATTTCGCACAACGACAACAACAATCTGATTATAGTTGTGATCACTATAAAATATATCAACAACAACAGTATAATCTAATTAACACCAACCAATCAAATGACAGATTGAAAAATCTTTTGTCTCGTAGACCAACCAGATTTACAACTGAAATACGGTTGTAAGGCATGGGCTTTTGTTTAGGTTTGTTTCAGGCCTATTTATTTATTTATAGGCCTGATGGCAGGTTAGGGCCTGACCAACAACTGAGGTAGGATGCATCATCACTATGGACCCCAGACAGGCATGTCAATTTTTGGAAATCAAAGTTGTCTATAAAGTCATAAAGACCCAATACTTTATTTCACAAAGAACCGCCTCCCCCAATACCCCCAAGTAAATCCATCCCACTGCTACACAAAAGAATACTTCTTTCCCTCTAAGTTAACAATGAAAGTATATTTTTTACAGATCTCTGCGATATTACTTTTACAACCTTGAAGATATGATTATGATGACAGATGTTGGTACATTGCAGAGTATTTTGTACATCCTATAAACGTTTTGTAATATCCACACAATAGATAAATTTGTATCATAATTAAATTTGTATCACAATCTGTAATTTAATAAATATTCATTTCATCTTGTTTCGTTTCATGTTTTCTTAATAGCCTGCAAGAAAAGATCTTCTTAGAAAATCTGATATTTTTTGAAAATTTATTACAATGTATATACATGATCTAATTGGTTCCTGGCCATGCCCACCTATGTTTTTTTCCCAATGAAATTAATAAGAGCAGTATGTTGAAAGAGGTTCAAACATGGGAGATTTTCCTGCAAAAGCTGGGTTTGCCTGATAAGAGAGATATCACTATGTACAGCACAGGCCTTTTTTAAGTACTATCACTGTTTGAATTGCTCAAACCTGATGCTGAGTAAAATCATCTGGCATTAGACAGAGTAAAATACTAAAGTAAGGCACAATGGGGTACATTGCCACTTAAAGGGTTAATGAACTCAAATCAACTCAGTATATGGTGTTAAGCCTCCATAACTGAAAGCAATAGACCCTTCCAAGGTTGACAATGCCATAATGAAACAATAGTACAAGGGGTGCAAACACAATGGAATTCCCTATAGGGGAGGTAAATTTGCAAGGGGTACAAACACAATGGTGAAAACAATATATTCAAGATGGCATCCTTAACCTTGGAAGGGCCTATTCTCAGAAAAAACTATTTTTACTTCATCCTGAGGTAAGCAAAGGTAATTTTGATCTAAGACAAGAGAGGTGACAGCTTTCCTATATGAAACTTTCTGACATATAAACAAAACAAATTCATCCCACTTACCGGTTTTGCTAGTTCCACATGCTAGCTCTGCAGCTTAATGGATTAATTATGTTACCATTGCAATGATCCTGAAGAAATTGATAAAAAAAGGACACTTTTTAGGAAAATTATTTGTCTGCTTACGACAAGGACTGATGTATGTGCTAGGAACACTAAGGGCTAATGAAAAGTGCTCTAATGTTAGCAAAAGCAGGGAAAGAAAACAATACAAAATATCATCTTGTTAGAAAATAATTAGCAAATGAATTCACATTACCATAGCAACCACATGTGACATATAGTGTACAAATCCATTAAGGGGCTGTTTACGTGAGCCTGGCTAGCCCAATCAACAGGGCTGAAACTTTATCAAGCCAAATATGGCAGGGGGAAATTTGTCACACAAGCCAAATGCATGTTAAGAACAACTTAAGAAATAACTATTTGTCCAAAAAATACTAATTCAAATCGATATTGTAGCTTGTACAGAAGTTTTTTCGCTAAGCAGGCTACCCGGGCTGGTGACTTTACATGGGAAAATTTCAGCCCGGTTAGCTGGGCGCCCTGTTTGACTCGAGTGAGATCTCGGCTAGGCGGGCTAGACATATAAACTAAAATTGTTTTGTTAAAGAATTTGTAATAAGCCGGGCGCCTCAGTTAACCGGGCCAGCCCGGCTACAAGTGGCTAGCCAGGCTCATGTAAACAGCCCCTAAATGCTAAAATACACTTTAGAAAAGTTTTGATATCCATAGTGATTTATAATCATGAAGGATACTGCATTTTCAACACATATTTCCTTACAGCTTGCAAAACATCATAGAGCCACCTTAATTAAATGCAATAAAACTCGAAAAGAAAAGTCGATGAAAATGGCTAAATTCTGCGAGGACCATGCACCTAAAATTTTCTCAAACCATATTAACTTTGAAGTGTAATACATAAACTTCAAGCGTAGATACACCTTGCGGTGTGCCAATCAATATTAAGCATTATTTTTGCAATTTTGTAAAGCCTTCAGTCATTCTTTTGCCCACTTGGCAGAAAATCAACATTTTCATGATCAAAAAATCTCATAATTTTTTTTTCAGAGTTTTCTTCTAGATTTTGGCCAGCATTATAATGGTACTTGATTACAAAGCTACATAGTTAGGAAACCTATTAATGTTTAACCATTAGGTAGAGTATTTTAAAACAATCAAAACAAAAGCCATCTATTTTAGCAAAAAGTAAGGAAAATGGGAAACTAAAACATTTACTTTTAAAAATTGTGCGAGGACCATTCACCTAAAATTTCTTCAAACAGGCACTGTTTTTATCCTCAAAGACTGTACTACAATGTACTATAAGTCCCACAGTGCGCCAATTGGTTTAAACGTAAAAAATATCTAAAATATCCAAGGTGAATAGATTTTGTAAGTTGGCGCGAAAAATGACATACAATAATAATGTTTGCAGAAGGAAAATGGACGTTTATCAACACAGTACGCTTCAATACATGCATAAATTGAGATTTATTTGGGCATACGATAACACTCTTTCACATGCAATAATTTTTGGGGGAAATCAACATAAATTTCAAGGTGTATTTGCAGGATAATTTGTGGGAGCGAACGACAATGGGGCTTTTAAAGTCGAAGAAAGGTCGCTCACTTCAAAAGGCAAAATACAAATATCTGAGGCCAAGATCAAATCGATGCAGAAAAGACACAAAGTTTAGACAAATATGTTGCTATTGACGCAATTATTTTTAAGATCTAGCCACATAAAAACAGAACTGAAGCAGTTAAAATATTCGTACCTTCTTGGCTTCTGCATTCGAAGTATACACCTCCAGAGTTCGAAGCACGTTGTTGTTGTTTAAAACGCCGTGGAGACGTTTTATTAACTTCCAGTACAGGCAAATATGCTGAATATACCATTTCATGTTTTAGATGTAACATCGAGCGAGTTTTCATGAGATCAATAAGCAAAATTTAAACACGTTCACTCCTTTGCCGCCATGTTCCAAAAAACAACAAAATTTACTATTTTTTCGCAAAGCATCACGGTATTTTTGATCGCGAGTTTCTCAATTTTTAAAAAAATCTCCTCTTAAATTTCAGAATCTTCAAAGAGAGACTGGTATGGGTACCACAAAGCCGCGTATAGTTCGTTGAAAATGCCTTCTACTGCAAATTCTATTGGGAAACCTGCGCCAGTAAGAGAGAGGAAATATAGATTTAGTTTCTTGAAGGATAATAATAATAATAATAATAATATTTATTCAGGAAGCTCCACTCACCGAAATGTTTTTCAGGGAGGTCCTGTAATATATATCTATATTATAGCCTACATGGTAAACTATAGTATGCTTATTTAAAAACTATAAAATATTTACAAGTGGATTATATATAATTATACTTCATAGTTAGAAAAAACTCAACTTAATTAGATAAATTGTTCAACTTAATTAAGGATATAGTTTTAGAATGACTTATCATCCATCGTTGTCGTCCATCTGCGATATATTCCAACAATATTTTAAAACGCCACAACTTTTCAACAATTTCGTTCCTTCACTTCTTAAAACGTTATTTATCCAGAAAAAGATGAGTGCATTTATAGTCGAGTTCATAGTAATTACAGTTGACACCCAAAAGAAAACACACATTCCAATTTTTGATCTTACATCCAAAATGTTTAATAAAGTCAGTCCGTAATAAATTATAGTTGGACAGCAACATACAAAAAAACAGAAGACTGCCAATAGACATGTATATTTCTTGTACCCAAAAATTCCTCTTCTGCCATTTGACGAGGTAGATTTATATCTTGATTTAGCAATGTAAAACATCTTGCAGTTCAAAATCACAACCAAAATCAGAAAGACAGAAAGGAACGCGACTATGTAAGCCGCTTGGTTGGCACTGCGAATCTTCAAGCTGAATGAGACTGTTTGGCCAATTACTGCAAACGTTTGAATTGCTACAAGATAAGTTGAAAGCTTGCTCTTTGTGACGGATGTTTTGTGAAATAGTGGATACGCCAAGCCCAAATATCGTTCGAACGTCATTATTAAAAGTCCAAATATAGAACAGGAAAGAACGGTGTCACCAATGTAGGACAACAGATAAAATTGTTGAGAGTATACGCCACGATCTTCGAAAAGCCATGAAATATACCAGAATATCATCAAGGAATGAAGTACAATTACCACCACAAGATCGTAACAGGACAAAAGAAATATCATGAAATAACATAGTTTCTTTCGAAGTTGAGAAGATTTCCATATACTGAGTACTACCACTGCGTTGAAAAATGTTCCAGCAAACAAAAAGACCAAGTTGACGATACAGAACACTATTCCGTTCAATAATCTATAATTATTATCACTCATGTTTTTTCCTTTGGATTGGCAAGTTGTTTATAACGTTATATCTATAATTATCAGTCACATTCTCCTTTGGATTGGCAAGTTGTTTATAACGCTACATACATTGCTCTTAAATTTATATACGGTTCAACATTTAATAATCTATAGTGGCACCTGCTACCTTGGAACAATCGACGTTTTAATAGCATGGCACATATTAAAAACTTGACTGTTTTATATAATGTCGATAAGTTGGAAATTAAAAGAGATATTAAATATGCGTTTTATTATAATCAAACAGAGATATCGTATTTCTGAAAGGCGTTTCTGAAACGAAAACCACGGATAAAGCAACCATCAAGATTGAAGAACATCATGTTGCAATGTTGAAAAGTCAATGCGCAATTGAAGAACGTTTGTTTTCATTGTCGGCCTTTTAAATATAAATGCATATACTGTAGGTACGTTTACACGGATGCTGCGATTTGCTGGGCCGATTTTAGGTTTTCTCAATGATATAATGATTGTCTACTTCAATCCCATTCAAAATACCCGATTGAATATTCAAATCACAATGCAACGACACAACCGCGATGTTTCATATGTTGTTTTATTGCTAAGATTCTTTTTTACACAAGTTGCGCCTGTTACTATAAAACAAACTGAGTTTTAATATCACACAGTTTAGTTATAACCGGAAATCATCTTTAATTACTAAATATCTCATGAAGCACATATAAAGATTATGTCTGCTATGACAATTGAAACAAAAACGCCCCAATATATATATAACAAAATATCACACTACCCGTGTAACTTTAATGTTTGAAAATGAATTTATTACGCTGTTTGATAGACAGTCAGAACAAACTGTGTTAAAGTAGAATAACGAAACTGAAGGTACGTGATTCGTATATAAAGCGGAGTGATCCTTAATTACATTCGTGACAACAGAAACATTGTTGACCAATTCATTTCCTTCCTTTAAGGAACACCTCTGAACAATTCCTCAACAATTTGATAAGTTCCTTAAAAAGTTCCTAACTTCCTGTTTAATTGACCAATCAAATTTTATATTTTATTTTTGAGCAATCTGATTGGTCAATGAAACAGGAAGTTGTTCCTTGAAAAGTTCCTAACTTCCTGTTTAATTGACCAATCAAATTTTATATTTTATTTTTGAGCAATCTGATTGGTCAATGAAACAGGAAGTTAGGAACTTGTTAAATAACTTATCAAATTGTTGAGGAATTGTTCAGAGGTGTTCCTTCAAGTTAGGAAATAAATTGGTCAACATTTTACGGAACGCTTCTATTGGCACTACTGTAAGGCCCGTTTACACTTGCAATTTTTGCTGCGATTTCTACTGTGATGTGAGTAGATGAGTTATGAATGTTCAGAGTAGAATTACATAGAGTACATCTGAACAATCACATCCATCAGAAGAAAATCGCACCTACTGCAGAATCGCAAGCACATTATGGTAGCGAAGCGCACTATACTAGCGTATTTCTATGTTTCCTGAGCACTAGAGTGCAACTGATGATTTTGACACAAAAGAAAATGCTACGACACGTTACGATCGAAGTGGAAAACGGGCCATGAGACGATGGCACGCATTGTAAAAATACAGTATATGAGGTAACCAAAATTATATAATAACTACAGTGAAACACGCAATTTGATTGGTTAATAGCCGTGCAGGATCAGGCTATCCTGCACGAGGAATTAAAATGCCTTCGCGGGATTTTCGCGGGATTCTCAAAATGTCATTGTTTCACTGTAGTTATTTTATAAAACAATTACCAAATGGTTTTCCAAGCAAGATAGCGTGATCCATGCACTTGGGATGTTGCTCGACTTTCGGAAAGCGTAAAAATACACTCGCCTGCGGCTCGAGTATTTTTACGCTTTCCGAAAGTCTCGCGACATCCCTCGTGCACGGATCACGTAATCCTGCACGGAAAACCATTCAGTATTCCTTTATGCATATCTGATATGGGAAGTAATTCCGTGACAGAACAATGAGAACATAAATGATGAAGGGGAGTATATGAGGTAATCAAAATGCATGTCTGATATGGGAAGTAATTCCGTGACAGAACAATGAGAACATAAATGAAGGTGAGGATATGAGGTAATCAAAATGCATATCTGATATGGGAAGTAATTCCGTGACAGAACAATGAGAACATAAATGAAGGTGAGTATATGAGGTAATCAAAATGCATATCTGATATGGGAAGTAATTCCGTGACAGAACAATGAGAACATAAATGAAGGTGAGTATATGAGGTAATCAAAATGCATATCTGATATGGGAAGTAATTCCGTGACAGAACAATGAGAACATAAATGAAGGTGAGTATATGAGGTAATCAAAATGCATATCTGATATGGGAAGTAATTCCGTGACAGAACAATGAGAACATAAATGAAGGTGAGTATATGAGGTAATCAAAATGCATATCTGATATGGGAAGTAATTCCGTGACAGAACAATGAGAACATAAATGAAGGTGAGTATATGAGGTAATCAAAATGCATATCTGATATGGGAAGTAATTCCGTGACAGAACAATGAGAACATAAATGAAGGTGAGTATATGAGGTAATCAAAATGCATATCTGATATGGGAAGTAATTCCGTGACAGAACAATGAGAACATAAATGAAGGTGAGTATATGAGGTAATCAAAATGCATATCTGATATGGGAAGTAATTCCGTGACAGAACAATGAGAACATAAATGATGAAGGTGAGTATATGAGGTAATCAAAATGCATATCTGATATGGGAAGTAATTCCGTGACAGAACAATGAGAACATAAATGAAGGTGAGTTTGGTACTTACATATGATCTGAAATGATCTTGGCAAGTAGATCTTTCAAGTTCTTATGAAAATCTCCTGAACAAAAATAGATAAAATGAAATTATGTGAGGTAATCCACTTTCAAATTTACGAACAAATACTCCTGGAATAAAAGCCCAATACAACAAGAAAAGCTGATATGTCTGCTGCTGTGCAGTCTACTATCAATTCAGTCAAGGGAACTACTTGTACAATCGATAGGGATACAACCACCCATATAATTTTAGCTCAATAAACAAATGTGGTTTCTTGCAGGATTGAACTCTGTTAAACATTACAGTAGGGATGTGACGGATACTCTTGTGCCGGATACCGGATGTAGTCTACCGGATACCAACTGCAGTCAGGGGAAATGATAGCCGGATAGCAGTCAGATGATAACCGGATATACTAATAGTGGAACTTGGTCAATACTTCACTGTCTGTATTTTCCCATAATACAGTAAGTTTAGTCCATTGTTTAATTATGTTATTTATCTTTTTGACAAAATATTCCTCGTTAAATGTTCTGGTTATTTTATCTCATATCAGAGGGTTAATGTGACCATGAATCTGATTGTATTTGATCCGGATGTCCTGGTTTACATTTAACAAACATAAAGCATTTTCCGTGTTGATATACATGCAGTTATATCAACACGAGTGGAAGTGGGAAAACGAGAAATTGTGTGGAATCACGACGCCAGAAGGAGGAGTGTTTTCACACAATTTCGAGTTTTCCCAATTTCCATGAGTGTTGATACTGTATACCAATACGGAAAAAATGTTTTATATTTGTTTTATAATATATCACAAAGAAATATAAAGAAAGAAATTTTCCGACGTTTCCGTGTTGACATTGAGTTATATCAACACGGCTCTTAGCCAATCAGCGTTCAGAATTTACAAATGCTATATTATAATGAATGTTAGTATAAATTTCCAGGTGACTATTGATTTTCTGCATTCTGATTGGTCAAGATTCACTGTCTCTGAAGTCATAGTCACTGGTCAGTGACTATAGCTTTTTTTTCAAAATGGCTGCTCGTTTTGCCGTAGTAACAGAGGAGGAAATTGCCAAAATTAAAGAAGATAGCATTCTAAAAAAACCCAAACAAGCTGCAAAATATGGTTTAAAAATATTTCAAGGTAAAATACTTAACTTTACGTGTTTTTATTTGGAAAAAAACGGGCTTAGTCGCAACGCGACACAGAGCCGTGTCTGAGATTTAAATTTTGTAAACAAACTATTTATAGTGAAAATAAATTTATTTGAAGTGAATTTTTATAAAGTTGTGTGGATTATTGTTTGTAAACACCTGGAAATTTATACTAAAACAATTAGTCGCCTCAGGCTCGGTGATTACAAGCCTATATTCACTTCGCCTTCGGCTCAGTGAATATAGGCTTGTAATCACCTCGCCTTCGGCGACTAATTGTTAATTAGAACATGGTTTTGTTCCATCAAGTTTTGCTTGTATTTTTCAGGTAGTTAAATCCCTCTCAATGCGCAGCTTTCTGGTGTTGTTCGCTCTACTTAGACCACAGGATACCGGCATGGAATTCTGCCGGCAGAAAATCATCACGGTTTCAACTGTTCACACGATACCGGCAGATTATATTCCGCTTTGACAATATGCTGCACAAATCAGTTAAAATAGACAGAATAAAATAACCAACAACAACTTTTGCAGTTTTGTTAATTTCATTTTGCATAACCGTAATGAAATTCTTACGGTTAGGCGTTCACACGGCACTCTGACGGTAGTATTTCAGGGTGTTAGCTAGCCCTAATACTGTCCGTTTGACGGACTCTTCCCATTTGAAGTAGCTAAGGGGCTTTCCCAACTGGGTCTACTGGAAGATTTTCATTTTTTCTGATGAGAAAGTGCAATGCGTTTGATTTTATATTACATTATTATATCAAAGAACGCTTTATTTACTTTTTCTCAAAATGTATCGCGTTTCATTCATATTGGGTGTGTATTCACTGAAATAAAATGTACAAAACAAAGTGTAATCGGTGTACATCCGTGTTCATTCACAGGAAATGAAATATACAAAACGAAGTGCCATCGCCCCATCGGGTGCATTTTCAGTGTTCATTCACCGGAAATGAAATGTACAAAACCAAGCTACCGTTGTTTGCATCTAAGGAAACACGTTGAAAAAAAACACCAATTATTCGTACACAAGGACTTTGATTGATCAAAAAAAAAAACGTTCCCAATTTACGTTTAACGGACAAAACTTTTTTTCTGGCTAACACCCTGTATTTCGTTCCGTTTTCAAACTCTTACGGTTTGCATACCATTTTCAAACTCTTACGGTTAGCGTTACAGTTTCACATGTTTTTATACCGGCATCGTGTGAACGCAACCCCTAAACGTAAGAATTTCGTTTCGTTTTCAAACTCTGCCGGTATCGTGTGAACGGGGTCTTACTCACACTGGTACAAACTGTTTGTTTTTCGTTGCATAAACCAGACCATGGTGGGAAGTTAGATAAAATAACCCAGGAATTTATTCAATTTAACCAGGAATATGAGTGAACCCAAATAGTGTTATCTCTAAAGGCCACGTTAAGGCCCGTTTACACGTGCGATTTTTGCTGCGATTTTAGTTGCGATTTTCTCCTTTTGGAAGATCTGAAGGAGTAGATTACTAATGATGTTGTTATGAGATTTCATAAGTTGGAACATTTATAACTCATCCACTCCTTTACATCGTCCAAAAGGAGAAAATCCGATCTAAAATCGCAGCAAAAATCACACGGTGCAATTTTTCTTGCAACTTGCAATGCAATTCTAGTCTTGAGAGAAGTTAATTAGTGAAATCTGTGAAAAATTTTCGATATGTTGAGAAAACATCCTGAAGCGGAGTGTAATGAAGACTCGTATTAGGTAATTTTACATCTCTCAAGAGTAGAATTGCATTGCAAGTTGCAAGAAGAATTGTACCGTGTAACATGGCCTTAAGTTAACAAGGAAATGTTACCTGGTATTTTACCTGGAAATAATGCGGCAATAGACTGTCTGTCTGCCACGTTTTCATACAAACAATTTTTGACCAACTGCTGTAAACTACAGAACAGTTGATCAGCTTCTGTATTCTCACAACCCAGAGCTTCTGTGATTGAACTATACACAACTGCAGGCACTAATTAAAAAGAAAGAATTTGATCATTATAAATAAAGTACAGTATAAATATATTTTAATAAATTTAATTCGTTTTCAGCACTGTGAGGTATTTAAGAAGTGCTAAAAGGACATTTACAAACACAATAGGCCATTTGCAAATTATGGATGAATGCCCACATACAATAGTGTGAGAATGAAGCTTCATGCTAAATTGTGTTAAATGTTTCTATAGCAAATTAATTAGCACTAAGCCTTGAGAGAAGATTCTCGTAGGATTCTCCCATGATTTTTTATAGGATTCTTTCAGAGTCAGAGGGAGTGGAGTTATTAATCGAGGAGTTTATTAGAGGGAGGTTGTTAGAGAGGGGTGGTTAGCTAGTAGTGATGAAATGAGGGTTGTTAGAGGGGTGGTTAAGGGGGGGGGGCTATTAGAGGGGATATTAGAAAGAAGTTATTAGAGGGGGTTATAAGATAGTGGTTATAAGGGGGATTATTAGAGGAAGGTATTAGATAGGAATTATTAGGGTGGGGGTGGGATTATGGTAGAATTTTAGAGGGGGCTTGTCAGAGGGGGAAGGGGGTTATAAGAGTGATATGGCTACTAAGTGGTTTGATAGGGAGGAGAGGGTTAGTTGCAAGGAGATATTGCAGAGGAATAATGTAACTTCGTAAAAGTGAGCTGAAGTCTTTAAATATTTAAAATCCCCTGACATAATGTGCAGATTAGATACTAAGATTAATTAGGTACTGCCTGAATATACATGCCTCAAGATGTACTTATTTTGAATGTTTCCTCAATGAAATCTAACATTATATTTTAATTATTAATAACCTTTTCCATTTCTATAGTTGAAAGCATCATTAATTAATTTTCCCACAACATCCTTGGATTTGGCCTGAAATGAAAGATGAAGTAATTGTATAAATAAAAATTCTTCATTCAGGCTATTACAATTTACAAGCAAGGATATTCCATTGTAATACATGTAAATTCCATATGGTGGAATTTGTAAAATAATGTTATGCAATTTCTCTTTAACAATTTTCAGCATAGCATCACATGAGATACCCTGGTTGTCAGAGGTTCTCGTATAAATACGAGTGGGAATAAGGCGAAGGATACAAGAACCTCTGGCAACCAGGGTATGCATGAGGTGCTTAATTATCAAACACTGCAAAAAATTGCCATATGCAGACCATTAATATCTTCTAAAAAATAACACAAAGTTTATAAAACCATTCAGTGCTAGGATAAGTTGCACAAAGGTATGTACAGTGACATTCAACCATACTGAAATATAATTCACTATAATCACTGCCAAATGCAGAAACCCTTCATTGTCTACTTCGTGGATGTAGAGTACGGTACCCCTGTGCATTGACGACCCCAACGCATGTTGGGGCATGTATAAAAGAATGTTCCGCCATCTGGTATTTAGTTTAGACAAATATATTTTGTATCTTACACTGGGCTCGTTTATCTTCTGTTTCGGCACGTTACTACATGGTGGCAGCGGTGAAAAAATAGTAAAATGGCAGACGATACAACAGGGAATATGTCCCAAGTATCAAATATCCCGATTCCTGAGAAATTCGATGGGGGAAATGGCCCAAAACAAGGCGACTTGTGGCCGAAGTGGATACGCCGGTTTGAACGCTACAGAATTGCCTCGGGGCTTAATAATAAATCGGATGCTGAACAAGTATCTACATTACTGTATGCGATGGGTGAATGCGCTGATGATATCTTGAAAACGCTACAAATTGACGAGGACAAAGCTTCGTACGAAGAAGTCAAGTCAGCACTCGAGAATCACTTTTCTGACAGAAGAAACGTACTTGTTGAGC